AGGTCACTGTGGCGGGTCTGTGGAGGTATCTTATCGTTGGCTCCTTTCTGTATTTCTCTCTGCTTCCTGCTGGCCAGGATATGGGCAGCCTCCTCCTCCACGTGTACCTGTTATCAGGACGTTCTGCCTAAGGCCATGTGGCTGAGCTACCAGGAAGCCTGTGAAACTGTGAGTCAAAATAAACCTTTCCTCCTTTAAGTTGTTATGTCAGGTATTCTGGTCACAGTGATGAGAAGAAGCTAATAAGGTAAAGCTAATTGCACACTAAATTTTCAGCCTTTGGAAATAAGCCCTTAATCAAAAAAGTTAAAGATAGCCTACTGCAGAAATTGAGACCTTTAAAGATTATTAATTTTCCTTCATACGTGCATGCATTTTATTTTAGTCATCAACCCATCAACCCCTCCAAACTCTTCCCGGGTTTTTCCTCCCCCATCTCCCTCCCAACTTCATGTCCTTCGTATACATTCATGACCTACTGTATCCAACTAGTGTTGCCCACATGCATGTGGATATAGAGTTGTCCACTGTAGCATGGTCCCACCCCTAAAGAAAACTGACATTCTCTCCCTGAGATCACAACAGATTTTAAGCAGGCAGGGGAGATGATTAAATCACAAAGAATGCTCAGGCAGATAACACAAGACAAAAGGAAGACCGATCTGATAAACAACATTTTTGAAATAGCCACAGTAAAATGATAGAAAACTGATAGACAAGTGAAAGTGCTGGGATTGAAATGGATGAACTTATCCAGCTAACACCAGCTCTTAGTAAAGACTGAGTTTCCTCTGAATAACAGAAAATCAAAAATAATACCATCTTAAACAGATTCCCCTCTTAAAAGAAATCTGGAACAGTCTGCAGGGAGTTCTATGGTCCCCAGCCACATGGCTATTTCTGACTCTTGGCTCTGCCTATCTTTCTGCTCCATCGTCCTCAGCACATGACTCCAGCATCATGCTCGAATATGGCAACGAGAGCTGTAGCCACTAAGTCTATATTCCAGACAACAGAATAGAAAAGTGTATATGAGGCAAGGGGGGAAATGATATGAAGTCTTTGAAGTCTTTTAGGGAAGTGGTAGAATTGGTTCATTTTCCTGGAAATGTCTTTCAAAATATGATCTTTGCAATGTTGCAGTCCCTTTTCAGAGACCTAATTTGGTGTGACTTGCTTTGCAGAACAGCCAGCTGTTTCTCATTTCCCAGGTCGTCGTCTTCTTCCTCCTCTTCCTCTTCTTCTTTAGAATTATATTTGCAAATACTTTTTGTAATTATAATTATTTGTTATTGTTTTTGCTATTATTTTATATGTATGTTTTGCCTGAATGTATGCGAGTGTATCATGTGTATAACAGTGCCTACAGAGGCCAGAAGGCATCAGATGCCCTGGAGCTAGACTTAAGGACAATTGTTAGCTCTCACGTGGGTGCTAGGAACAAAACCCAGGTCCCCAGCAAGAACAGTCTCAAAAGCAGCCAGTGCTCTTAACTGCTGAGCCATCTCTCCAGCACTGAGATTTATTTATTTTATATACATTTATGTTTGGTCTGCATATAGGTATGTGCACCACATGTGTGCCTTCTGACTGTGGAAGCCAGAAGAGGGCATCAGATCCCCTGGAACTGGCATTACGGATGGCCGTGAGTCACCATATGGGTGCTGGAATTGAACCCAGGCCCTCTGGAGGAACAGCAAGTGTTCCTAACTGCTGAGCCACCTCTTCAACCCCTTCCAATGTCTTCTTAAAACTCTTGTTAACAAAGAACAAACAGATGCTAAAAATTATCAGAGTAGACAGACTGAAGCCAGCAGCAATTCTTGAATACTAGCTAACATGTAACAGAAGCCAAGCTCAGTGCTTAGCACTTCATCTACATGGTATCATTTCATTTTTCAGCAGTATCTGAGGTACAGATACCCCATGATAGAGGGATTAAGTAAGGTTTTCACGAGCCTCAAGGCTAGAATACTTTTTATTCGTATGACTTTGTAAATACGTGTATTACTTCTTTTCATAAAGCCTTTTATAGATAATCATTTCAATTTTTATTTCATTATTTTTATTTTATGTGAATGAGTATATTGCCTACATGTATGTAAGTGCACCCATGGGGGTCATGCAATGCATGTTCAGGAAGTCAGAAGACAGCATCAGATCCCTCTGGAACTTGGGTTACTGATGGTTGTTAGCCACCATGTGGGTGCTGGAAATTGAACCCAGGTCCTCTGCAAGAACAAACAGTGCTCTTAACTGCTGAGCCATCTCTCCAGCCCCTCGTTTCAATTCTTAGTCACTTTTAATAGATGGATTGTGATACTACCCATCTTTTATAGGCACTATGGAAACTCTAGCTGTTTAAACCATTCTAATCTACCACCAGATATAAATGACATTCCAATTATTTGTGCACAGGCAAGTAGGAGTCAGAGTATCTTAGGAAAGAATTCCTCTGTATAACTATGTTTGATAAACCTATTAACCAATTGAGGGTTTCATCTGTTGTCTATGACTATCTTCTTTGAACATAAGCAGCATAAACCTTGTGGGCTCCTGGTGGTCAGTGATAGAAGATGATAATATTGACATTCTTTTCATTAAAAACAGTCTATTCAGGTGGAGAGATAGCTCAGTGGTTAAGAGCACTGACTGTTCTTACAGAGGACACAGGTTCAATTCCCATTACCCACTTGGTGACTAACAACCAGCCCTACCGCCAGTTCCAGGGGATCTGACGCCTTCTTCTGACCTCAGTGGACATGTAGGCAATACACTGATACACATAAAATAAAAATAAAAGTAATAAATTAAGAAACCCAGTATATCCCTTCTCTGGACTAGGTAAGAACTGTAATTTGACTATTTGATTAAATTTATTCTATTGAATCATATTTGTCATCCTAAATTTGGTGGCCTCAAAAATGTTTGTAAATGTTGATTATATTAGATTCATAGGAGCTGTGTAACCAAGACCTGGGCACACTGGATTTTGTAATGTGGAAGATTTTGTTTACATTTGGCATGTAGGGGCCAGCACAAGAGTACCCAGATGTATAGCTTTATCTTTTTCTTTTTTGGAGACAAATTTGTTAAATCACTTTGATGGAGAACTGCATGCTGCATGCTTAATCCACTCTCTCCAGCACTTTTTTGTTGGTGAGGGCAGGGTTTCCCTATAGCCCCAGCTGGGCTGGAACTCACCATGTAGACCAGGCTGGCCTGAATCTCACAGAGATCCACCTTCCTCTGCCTGGGATTAAAGGTGTGTGCCACCACTTTCCCCAGCACTTCTTAAATCTCACATTTTTCTCTAGAAACTCATTTACCTGTTTAAATATATTACAATTTATTTCACCTCCACCCCTTGCCCCCTCCCCCCAATTTAGAAACTACTTCCTCAGTGCTGCCTTCCTCTCTGGCTACCCGTGTTCTGTTCGCTTCTCATGCTGGTCCACATCTTGGCAGGGTGGTTCTTGTTCTCTTTCTCCTCTTTTACCTGCTCGGTCCTCTCCTCTCTAGATGGAAGTTCACAAACCAGGTCTTCCTTATCTCCACCCCACAGCCAAATCCAAAGGAGAATTTTCACTCCTTACTTCAGTGCTCCACTAAATTTGGCATTGTTGGTTGAGTCTTTCTAGTTAGTTAATTTCCTAGGTTTCTCTTCCTGTCTCTTCCCTTTTAAACGTTCAATTCTGCTCTTCTGCCAGTTCCCAGCTTGCTTCCTGGTCTTCTCATTACACACTTGAATTCATCAGAATCATCATTTCATCCACCACGTTGTGCGCCATTCTCATCTCCCACCTTCCTGACACGTCCCCAGAGCTTTACAAGCGACTCAGCGCTGCTTCCATTCTCAAACTCCGTATGTTAAACACGATACTTAACATCTTCCCCTTAAATGTCCTTTCCATAGACATCTGGCTGATGATTACATAGCTACTTAAGCAAAAAATCAGAGTGACTTAGGCGCCTTTCAATCTGTGAATCCATCCACTTACTCTCCTAAGAATGCCTTCCTTCCTCTCTATCTCTTTTAATAGTTATGTCAGAAGCCCAGCATCTTCTGGCTGGATATTTTCGTAGTTTCCAACTCCCCTGCCTCTGGTTAGGAACTCATTTTCATTCTCTGAATAGCACTAGTGCTGTCTTAGTAACAGCACCATAACTTCTTTGCTTAAACGTCTTTGATGTGTCCCATCTTCAAGCAGGTTTTTAAAATTTGTTTTCCCTCTCTTTGTAACGGCAGCCTGACCATGCATTCGCCTTGCTCAAGATCCGAAAGACCTGTCCTCTTCCAGTTTCTCCAGTTCCACTTCCGAGGTCCTGCCTTAAAGATCAGGCATTTTTCATCTCTCCCTTCCTTGCCTTTTACAGGAGGAGGTGAATTAGACGTCCCAGTCCTAATCCTTCTGTGGCCAGAGAATACGTCATAATTCGTTTCCTATAAGAGAATGTTGGCTTATTCGGAGTTATATACCCAGGATTTGAAAATACATACAATAAATGGAAAATGTACAAACTGAAGTTGGCAGCAATTTTACCTATAAAGCTTTATAAAAGACATACAATCCTGTGCCTCCCCGTCGGGGAATCGAACCCCGGTCTCCCGCGTGACAGGCGGGGATACTCACCACTATACTAACGAGGACTTGCACGGTAAGAAGCGCTCTGATACACCTTTTCTCGTTCTCAGGGCCGCCACCCGCCCTGCAGTTGCTAACAGACCTGATATCTTGTGTTGTCATCATAGATTCCACCCGGATTGAATGGAACTAAAATGGAAGTGTTCCACTAGCTGTCTCCACTTCATTCTCAACATTCCCTCTGCCCAACCACCCTTCCCTGCCGCAGGACCCCTTGGTTCCCCTCCCACCATCCTCCCACGCTCCCAGGCGCCCTAGCGCTCAACTGCTCGCGCTGCACCACGGGACTGGTAGTTCCGTCTGTCCATCCGCCATGCTCCGGTATCGCTGAGCGACTCCTTTTCCCGGCGTGCACCGCTCTCTCTCTGGCTCGCTCGCTTGCTGTGCTTCCCTCTGTTCTAGGGCTCCGGGTGGAAGTCTGGAGGTGCTGTGTCGGGGTGCGGGTCTGCGCGCGGCGGATCTCCGAGAACCATGCCTGAGGTCGCGGATACCTGCTCTTTGGCCTCTCCGGCCTCTGTCTGCCAGACCAAGCACCTCCACCTGCGGTGCAGCGTGGACTTCGCTCGCCGGACGCTGACCGGGACCGCGGCGCTTACCGTGCAGTCTCAGGAGGACAATCTGCGCAGCCTGGTACGCCGGTGCCGCGCCGCTTCTCCCCGGCAGCGCTCGCGTCGCGCCTCGCCCCTGCTCCCCAAGACCCCTGAGATCGCTGGCTCCCCTCGCGGCCCCTCCTCCCCACAGCCCCTCTATCACTCTTCCTCAGCCCTACTTTTGCATCTGCACCCTTTCTTCTGCTCTGCATGTGTGATCGTCTCCTCTTTCCACCTGGCACATCTTGGCGCCCCATCCATTCCAGGCTCCTCACTGTTCCTGGTCTTTACAATCGTCTTCCTTCCCATCCTTCCAGTTCCCAGAGCTTACTACCCCTACCCCGTATGGTCTCCCCCTCTCCTTGGCCGGGATCCAGAACTCCTTCCTCAGGCCCCAGACTTCTCCAGCGCCCTAGCGCACCTTCCTTGTCCCGCAGTCTCATCCAACTCCTGAGAGATCCCATGACCGGAGGATTCTTATCTTTCCCAGGAACTTAGCAATTGCTCAGTTCCCTGGACCTCCTTGACAGTCGTTCTCAGGGCCTTTAGGACTCCCAGTCTCGACCCTTAGACCTTGCTTCCAGGCTTCCAGTCTCTGCTCCCTTGGGGCAGATGCAGTCCTTGCTCCTCACCGTCCCTTCCTGCCTTTGCTTCTTCTCAGTAGTTTAAGGGCAGATGAGACAGTCAGACTTTCTAAGGATGACTTAATACAATTTTTGAATAGTTGGTTTCAAGAAACAAGTTATTATTGCACTTGTTATAAAATATGTACTTCTTTAAGCTCTCTAGCCATTTGAATAAAGATTTGTTTAGAATCACGAAATATTCAGTAGTTTAATCTGTTCCATATAACCTTTATTCAATGAGGGCATATTGTCGGATGGTATTAGGATTGTACCTTTGACTTGAAAAAAATGTTATCAAAGAGCATTGTAGAAATAAGACGGACATGAAAGACCAGACTATCTGTATTCAGCCTGTTAACTGGCAGGATGGATGGTACAGTATACTTTGCAGTGTGGTATGGTTACTTCCACTAAAGTGAACAATAGGCAATGGGATCTACTACTGAAGACTGAAATTAATGAGGTCAAATAATAGGGCAAAATTACAAGTACAGATAATAACCGGTGGTTGAAATGCCTCTTAAAAGATTTTTATTTAGTTCATTAATCGGGACTAATGAAGTACTTACTGCTTTAACGCCTGTATTGACATATACTTACCAAAACTACTATAAGAAAGAAAAATGAAAGCTTTCTAAACCAAGTTTGTAACCATATCCTTGTGGATTGCACTTTGGTCTTGAAGTACCATACTGGCCCTGGCAGCTTTGCTCCAGCAGGGCTGAAGCTAAACCCTGTTCCCATGCAGTGGCTCCTTTTAGTAAAAGAAGATTTTCTAATTTATCACTGCTTAACATGACCTTGTACTTCCCTCTTTCTTATAGAAATAAAAAGCTTTACTTCTTTTCAGTTGGTAAGCAAGAGTCAGGAGACTTGAATTTTGAACAGAATGTCCCCATATGAAAACTTGTCCGTGCACTTTCCCGTAATCCACAGGAAATAAAACTGTTAATATTATGACTTCTGGCTGGGTGTGGTAGTTCACACCTTTATTCTCAGCACTCGGGAGGCAGAGGCAGCTGGATCTCTGAGACTGAGGTCATGGTCATAGTAAATTCTAGGCCAACTGGGCATACAGGGAGACCCTCTCTCAAAAAAAAATTGGGCTTTCTGGTTGGCTAGCTGTTAGTAAACTAGCTTGAATTATAATGTTCAGTTTTCTACAAGAGAGGTCATTTTTTGTATAAAGTAACATCTGTTTATAATTCTTTGCTTGTTTATGACAGCAATCTAAGACCAAATGTTTGGTATTGTTTATTTATATTAATTTGAAGTTAGCTTGTTTCTTTCCTCTAGTAAATTAGGATCTCCTTGCTTGAGACAGGGTCTCACTGTGTAACTCAGATTGACCTTGAACCCATTATGTAGCCTAGGTTGGCCTCAAACTTGTGATCCCCCTCCTTTTTTTAAAAAAAAAAATAATTATTTATTTAATAACCACATAATTAGAAGAAGCATTTCATGACAACAGCATTGACATATTCAATAACAATTTCCAGAGCTAAGATGCATCTGTTTCTAAATTGGCTGTAAATTTTTAGGTTTACAGTTGAATTAATACAGTTATACAATATTGTACTCAGTATAAACCCTATAAGATATAAAATTAAATGAGGTTTTAACCTTTAAAAAAGATCTCCATTTCCTTATTACAATACAGTTTCATAAAGAAAAATTCATTTTTAATGCAGTTAACACTAACATTGTTTGCACATGCGTTTCTAATC